CTAGTGAATCTGGTCAGTTTCAGGGACTTGAAGCTATTTTGAGTTATTTACCTCCTGGTTTAAGGAACTTCTCTGAACATTGAAATGTTTCAATCTTGGAGATGACTGTTAACACAACAACCATTTTCTCAGCCCTCACAAATCCAGAAACATGATGAGGTTTGTTTTTGTCGTGCTACTCTTTTCAGGTGTTGTCTTCTGATGAATACAAATGGTTTGCTTCTCTTTGAATTTATAGAGCCATTCTTCATAACTTTCAAGGCTCAAGTTCACTCTCTTAGTTTATGTTATTGCTCTGTATATTGGATGTTCCTAATAGAATAAATGTTAGGTATTCTTACCACAAAAAAATCCCTTAAAATTTTGAGATAATACATATCTTAAATTATTTACTTAGAGAAATCATTTAGTCATTCATACATATATAAAAAGATAGTAACTTATACCTTAAATTCACAAAATGCATCTTATTTATCTTTTCTTTTGTGGGTACGAATGATGTCTTAGGTCTTCTATTGCTGTGAAGAGATATCATGACAACAGCAGCTTTTTTAAAAAAAGGAAAACATTTAATTAGGACCTGCTTGCAATTCAGAGGTTTAGTCCATTGTCATCACTGCAGGAAGTATGATGGCATTCATGCAGACATGGTGCTGGAGAGGGAGCAGAGAGTTCTACATCCAGATCAACAGGCAGCAGGAAGAGTAGAGTGAGTGACAGTGGGCCTGACTCAAGCGTGTAAAATCTCAAAGCCTGCTCCCTTGTAACACACTTCCTTCAACAAGGCCCCACCTCCTAATAACACCACTCCCTATGGGCTTATGGGGGCCCTTTTGATTAAAACAACTACAAGTAGATTTCTATGAATTCTCAGTTCGTTGATAGAATAATAGTGGCCAATGACATGGTTCAGCAGGTATTGGTGCTTGCTGCTAAACCTGATGACCTGAGTTGATCCTCTAAACCCACATGGTAGAAGAAGAAAACTGGCTCCCGCAGGCTGTTCTTTCACCCCCATACATGTGTCCCCCAATGAATAAATGTAAAAAACAAAATATTCCAAAATAAGATGGGCAAGGTAGCTCATGCTTATAAGGGCCTGGAGGATAGGGAGTTCAAACCAAGCCTTGGCTACCTGAGTTCTATCTACATAGGACTTACCTATGAAGGAGCATGTTGTCTGCACCATAACACCAAAGGAAAAGAGAAGAAAAGGAAATAGAAAATAGACAGAATAAAATTGAAAGAAAATACCAAATAATTACATTTTTAGTCAGCCAGCGTGACTTAGCAGGTTTCCTCTCAAATGTTAATTTAAAAAACTAGATGATTGAGCCGGGCGTTGGTGGTGCACACTTTTAATCTCAGCACTTGGGAGGCGGAGGCAGGAGGATCGCTGTGAGTTCGAGGCCAGCCTGGTCTCCAGAGCAAGTGCCAGGATAGGCTCCAAAGCTACATAGAGAAACCCTGTCTCGAAAAACCAAACCAAAGCAAAGCAAAGCAAAGCAAAAAACTCCCCAACCCCCCCAAAAAAAAACAAACTAGATGATTGATCGAGATTTAGCTTTTTAACACTTGATCCCTTGAAACTATGTGATATTATAGACATATATAATCCAGTGACCAATAAATGTCTTCTTGTTTGGCTTCTTCATACTTCACAGTTAATCCGGAATTTTGTTTGGTTCATAGGTGTAACTTCAACTTTGGGAATGAAAGGCTTGAATATCACTAAGAATCAGAAGCTAGCCATGGTTACACAGAGAGTATGAAATCCTTGGTGATCGTATTTCTCTTGATCTTGCATCCAATATTTTGTGATAAGAGAATTTACTTGTTATGATAAGAGAAAAATAATAGAGGACATCAAGTAAGTCTCAGTCTAGAACTAAAATATTGTGGCTTTAGATGATCTTAACCTTGGGTGATGTACCAGCTCTGTCACTTGCCAACTGTATCAAGTGTGAATATTATCAAATTCTCTGACCATCAGATTCCACTTGTGTAAAATGACTTTGGTGACCTTTTCTTCTTTAGATGGTGCTAGGTGTACAAGGAATGGACAGTACTTAGTACAGTGACTGGTATACTGGATCTCTTATATTATCTCTTGGCTACAGTTTCTAATGTTATTTCCTGATTTTTCTTTCTTACCTTAGATATTATATAAAGGAAACAGAGGAAGCCTTACCTGAAATAAATTTCAGTGTGGTGATGAAAAGCAGGGTAGGGCATTTCTATCATCTGTAATCAAAGATGAATGGGCATGTCAGTCCCCACCCAGATTACTTGATTTGTCTTTTGACAGAATGGTAGGCTGTTTAGGTTGCTGCATTTGTGTTAATGCATATAGAGGGCTGAAGTCTATGTGGGATGTTTTCTCCAATTGCTTTCCAGATTATGTTTTGCCACAGTGTCTCTCATTAAACCTTGACCTCACCAATTTGACTAGATGGCTGATCAGAAGGCCCCAGGAAACTTTTTGTTTCCTGTACCCAATCACTGTTATTACAAGAACATTTTGACACGCTTAGCTTCTTTAATACACATGCTAGGGTTGAACTCTGGGGCTCATTTGTGTGCCACAAACAAGTTACTAGTTGAGTAATCTCTCTTGCTCTGCTCCTCTCAAATTGAAATGTAAGATATGTCCTGTATATGAGACCTGTGGCTCTCTGAGATGCAGTAGAAGGAAGTGAAGTGGACATTTTCTGATTACACCGTTGTCAATAGTATCACTAGAATGAAAACTATGACACCGAGATTGGAGCCTTATGATGGTAGTAACAAATGAGTGTCAGTCCAAACAACTGGCAGTACCAATATTCCCATCTCAGTTGCTGTGGGACACAATCCTAGAATCAAGCCTTGCACTATCCTGTTCACCTATCGTGGGGATTGATAGGAGTCTGTGTTATCCTGTTATGTGTAAGGAGTTGGCAGGTTGCTATTACAGTCTGGAAACCTGGCCTCTGTTAACATGAGTTGGCACACTGTGGCTGCTCTTGGCCACTAAGTACGAGTATTGGGTGAAAGCCTGGAGATTTGGATGAAGACTCCTGGTCCACTTCTTAGAGAATGTCTCTCACCTTTATTGTGGAGCAGCCTTATATACAAACTTACAAAAACCCCAGGTCAAAGGGTTCACAACAGGATATTGATCCCAGTGGGGTGAGGTCAGGAAAACAGGAGGTACCTGTGATTATACTGGAAAACAACTCTTAGAGACCTCATGGGGCCTGAGTTCTAACAGCACACTTGTCTCTGTGATTCCTTGGAAAGAGCTATAACCTTAACCATGTCTCAGTCCCTTCATTCATGCTTTGTATCATCATGTTGACTCCTGTCAGGAATATCTCGTATCTTCTATGTGGAGACCAAGCTCATCAATCCAAGGAGAGACTACACTTGAATCACCTCACCCACAAAGAAGGGAGAAATTCAACCTGACAGTCTTATTCCTTGGGTCTTGTGTCAACCTCACTGCAGTTCATTAGTTAATTTCTACCAAAGCCTGGCCTTCCTTTCTCACCTCACATTCCATTATTTATTATCTGTTAAAACACATTATTTGAGGGGGGAGGCACATGGGATGCCATGTTTATGTAGGTCAGAAGACAATTTGTGGGTATCCATTCTCCTTCCACCACATGGATCCTAGTAATCAAACTGAGGTTGTCAGGCATGGTGGAAGGTGATGAGCCATCTTTCAGGCCCTCCATTTTATGACACACTTTTCTTGCTTTAGCTGTGGATTCTAATCCTATAATTTGATCACAAATTCCTTCTCTACATTAATCAAAATGTGTGTTGGAGTACTTAAATAAGAACTTCAGCTTGGGTTCTCAGCTTATAAGTTAAATAACATAGGCTCTAGATCAGGGTCCCAGTATGAACTCTGGTACTTACTATCCCTGCAAACTTGGGGTCATGCAGATAGTCTGTAATGCTCAAACACTTCACTAAGAAGAAATGAATTTAATAGAGTCTGTTGTTGGAGTTGCTTTTCCAGCTTGATCCCAAAGCTGATTTGCCCCAAATATGCACACAGACGCTATGTTAATTATAAAATTGTTTTTTTTTTTTTTGGTTTTTTGGGACAAGGTTTCCCTGTGGCTTTGGAGGCTGTCCTGGAACTAGCTCTTGTAGACCAGGCTAGGCTAAAACTCACAGAGATCCACCTGCCTCTGCCTCCCCAGTGCTGGGATTAAAGGCGTGCGCCACCAATGCCCGACAATTATAAAATTGTTTGTTGATGGCTTGGGGCTTCTTATTGGCTAGCCCTCTCTTACTGACTAACCCATTTCTATTAGTCTGTGTATTTCCACATGGTCTTGGCTTACCGGAGAATGCCCAGACCTGTTACTCCTTTGTAGTTACATGGCGTCTCCTTGTGGTGCCTCTCTTCCCAGCATTCTCCTCATCTTCTAGCCCCATCTTCCTGCCTCTACTGGCCAAACACTGTTTCATTCATCAACCAATAAGAGAAACATATATATAGAAGGACATCCCCCATCAAGAGTCAATTTTTTTAGGACCAGCAAGATTCCTGTTGAATGTGTGGCTTTTGTGTCTGACTTGTCTTGCATGTACTTATTAAAGGGTAGCATTCACTAATGTGAGCATTTTGAGCTGGTTCATTGGAAATATATACCTAAGATTATTTTCTTGTGTACCCTAAGAGATGCCATAAAATATATAGCTCTGGGACCCCCAAACACAGAAAGAAAACAACACAAACATTCTGTCACAAAGCAATGAAAAATGAAAAAAAAAACCTGTTTTCTATTCAAGTATATATTCCCCCGTTTCTTCCTTTAGGTAGTAGACCACATTTAACTTTCATCCATTATAGGGGCTTCTTCCAAATCTATCATTCTATGGGTACGTATTGGGTCTTATTTTTATAAACACCTCCAGTAAGTCTCCTCAAGAACAGATGTTCAATTAAGTGTTTTGGTAAAATACAAACCTTGAGCAAGAAAACAAATTTACTGTGATTTAGTTTCTTATACACCTTTAATGTCATAAGCAAAGAAAGTATGCATCTCTTACATGTTTGAAAAAAGAAAGTGTGGAGTACAACAAAACATGAACTGAAAGTCTATTTTTTTCTGTGTCTTTTTTTCTCTCCTACTCTCGGGCAATTTAGATTGTAATTCCATATTATGTTATGGTACATCACTAAAGTTAACTATGAAATTTCAAATCACATTTCATATCAAATCAAACTTTCAACCCTCAACTTGGTAAAAAACAAGGAAGGCACTGATGTATTTATTTTTCTAAAATAAATGATCTAAGGTATTTTTCTATTTAACTTCTGACTTCTAAACAGCTTTACCAATAACTAACTTGAGCATCACAATAGCAAAGATTAGTAGGCTCTTTCAATCATGTAGTAGAAACGACCTTAGATCTCACTAGCAGGTAGGAAGGCTTGACTTGCTTTTAGAATGTCTCTTAGTCTTGCATGTAGTGCTTTTCTGGGCTGGCCCTACAGCATGGGCTCTATCTTCTTCCTTCAAAGCTTCTTCATAATTGGATGGGTAGGTAGAGGAGCCAGTTTCATTGATGTTGGCTAAAAACTCCATCACCTTTACCTGGCTGGCTTCAGCATAGGCTTTTGGACCCCACAGGAACTCATAGGATGGAGGATCACTGTCAGGGACCTGACGGTATTCCAGGTACTTTTCTTGCACTAGCTCTTCAGTGATGAGCTTTCTGATATCCCCAAAGATGAGATGTGGGACCCCATCATGGACTCCTAGCATATTCAGGAAGTGCCAGACCTCCTCCTCTGGGGCACAGTAGCCATTTAAGTAGATCACACTTAGGAGGGGGATCAGAATGCCCCTGTTGGGAAGACCCAGCTCACTGCTTCTACTTCCATCATCCTTGAAATCTAGCTTGCTGACAAGCATGTAGGATTGACCATTGGGCTGGACTTCTTTCATCTCTAGTCCAAAAACAAGATCCATGCGGTTCAAAGCTTTCTTGAGGATCTCAGGGAACTGCTCCTTGAAGCTTTTGTTGACAACATTCAACATTTCTTCTCTCAAGAGGGGCTCTTTCTGTTTGTACTTGTTGAGCATGTACTCCATCAGCATCCCTGTCTTCTTTTTAAGAAGATCTTTCTGTGGGCTCTTATTGGAGTGCTGGGTCCTAGAGGATCTTGTCGTATTTTTCTTCCGTCTGCTCTTGGCAATTTTATCAGACCTTTTGCAGGCAATGCAGATACTGAAAGTAGTGACGTAAGGCATTCCTTGAAACAACTTGGAAAAGACATCAGCAGCAATACTTGTCATAGCATCTTCAGAGGCATGAGCAGAAGAGGAGGGTGGCTCTCTTTTCTCTGCTGCCTTGGTGTGAGTATCCTCAAGCCCTCGGGACTCCATTTTGGTCTGGCGGCGTTTCTCACGAGCCCGGGCCTTGCTCTTTTGTCCCCTGGGCATGATGGATATGGTCAGTAACAACAGGCAAGAGCAGATTGTAGAGCAAGTGACTTGGATACCTGGACAGAGAGAATGAGATAATATAAGCACTTATTTATGTTTTGAATAGATTTCCTTTTATCAATATTCCTTTAACTTTCCCCAAACCCACAGTGCTCCTGGTCTCCTGAATAGCCTGCAGGCAGTGCCAAGGTTCAACAAGGCTCCCTGTCTTCTGGTGTTTGAGCACCTTCAGTTCTAGGATTATATCAACTATTTTGCTCTTCTGAGCCACTCCCCTCTGCTACTCCCATTTGACAGCTCAAAGGTTCCTCGTAGCCCCAAGGGACAAAGCTTCAGGGAGCTTCAGTACACTGCACTAACTGGGTACACTGAGTGCTGAGAATTAGAGAGCCCTTTCTGGCTTGGGCTCTCTGGGGTCTTCAACCTTCCTTCAGGTTCCTCAACTCAGCTCCCAGTAAACCCTGGCATCACCCACTTTGTGCTAAACTTTTTAGACTGAGGAGATTCACCCTTTGGGCTACCATAAAGAGATAAGGGAAGTGTTGAAACTGGTAGCTCGTCTCTTTGCTTTCTGAAGGTGAAAATGCCTTGAGAGCAGTGATCATGGCTAGTAATGCCAGAATGTTCATAGCTCACAACAAATCTGGGGCTCTAAATGGTCCTCTTCTTTCTGAAAGTGGTCCCCTCATCACAGTTAATGGTCACACATTTCACTCCTGTTAGGCACTGCAAACCAATGTTTAAGCAAACCCACTGCATGAGGCCAAGGTAGCTGATTTTGTGAAACTCTCTCTGGGAAAAATATGAGACAACACTTTATTTTTGTCATATCCATCACAAGACTTAATAAGTCCTTTACTGCTTTCAATATTTCATTTTCTTTCCAGGCCTTGTAACATAGTACTATGCTTAAACAGTCCTAACTAATGCTTGCTTTCTTTTTGCATATTTTGATTATACAAAATAATGTGATTCATCATGGAATTTTACATACATACACACACATATATGAGTTTGATCATATTCATTGGCAATTGTTCTACGTTTTCCCTTCCTTCTTTTCTTCAGAGACTGTTTTTTTTTTCCTCATAAACCTCTTACATGTAAAATTGTAGGTGGTTCTTAAATACAGGATTAAAACATTTTGTGTTTTCCTTGTTCTGTGCCTTGTACTCAAAACATTGTATCACTGCACAATTCAGGATGTCCTTGCTTTTTGAAGGTATCTCTTTTTGCCTCTACATCCCTCCCACACACCCCCTTGCTGTCTAAATACAAGATATTTGGGGCTTTTTAGTTTTCTTTTTTGTTGTTGTTGTTGTTGTTTTTAAACGAAGTTCTTTTTACTGTTGTTTGGGTTTTTTTTTCTTCTTCTTCTTGGGGGGGGGTGAGGGAGTGCTACAAAATCCCTAATGTCTGAACATTTAGTCAAATTGCTCCATGTTTACTTGCCTAATCTGCATGGGGTCTTCCAGAACTCAGTGCAGGTGGGGTTAGGGATGGGGGGGGCTGAGTGTGGAAGCCTAATTGTTTAGAATGAGCACTCCTTATCACTTAGGTCCAAAGTTTGGCTTTATTTGTGGTCTGGGATATCACCAGGCCATCTTCAGTGTCAGGACTCCTTTCCAAGATCAAGGTGCCCACTCTGTTCTGAGACCTTCTAAGATACATTGTAATCCACGGCTTTCTCAGAATAAGCCCACTGACCCAGGGATGGAATTGAGTACAGCCCCTTTGTTTATTCAAGGGGTATGCTCTTGTTAGTACATATTGAGGTCCCTTACCTTGACTGAAGGATCCTTTTGGATTTGCAGACAGCCGGTCTATGGGCACGCACACAGCACCTCTGCCAAGAGCACCAACAACCCAGTTTCTCCCCTTCCAACAGGAAGCGAGGGTAGACCATATCCGGTCAGAGGATGTTTCTGAAGATTGACAGCAGGGCCAGGTTGCTAAGGAACCCCACTATCAGTTCAATATGGAAGCCAATCTATAATTCCTCACTGTACTCGAGCTTCCTCAAGACTTCGAACTCTTTTTAGTCCACGGCACACAAAGCCCCTTGTTTGAACCTCTGAGGTCCATTGCAGCGTATGCCCCACTTTCCCCACTATGCCTCCATCCATTTCTCAAAGCCTCCTAAACCCCTCATATTGTATGCCTTGTCCTATATTGTTTGTTCCTCCCTAGTTGGATCTTTCCTCTCAGCTTTCAGATAAACCTCTCCGGTTTCCTAGAGATATGAGAGCAACAAGGTTGCAACGTTGTCTGGTACATCACAATCAGGAGCAGTTTCTTCTTGTCCTAGGATCCTTTCCTCTATTGATTCAAATTTTCCAGAAACAAACATTGCCCTCCCATTTCTTAATCCTTGGAGTGGAAGTCTAGATATGGCTCACAGTGTTGAAAATAATTAGGGCATTTTTTGTCCTCTAGCAGACCCAAGTCATTTTTCATTGTACTTAATTTTTTTTGAGACAGGGTTTCTCTGTGTACCCTTGGCAGTCCTGGAACTTGCTCTGTAGACCAGGCTGGCCTCAAATTCACAGAGATCTGCCTGCCTTTGCCTCTTGAGTGCTGGTGTTAAAGGTGTGTACTACCACTGCCCAGCTCATTGTACTTATTGAAGCCCTCCAGCTCCACAGGAAGCCCATCCCTTCCTAAGTCACAGAGCAAACACTCTAGCCAAGCCTTACATGAATCCCACAACTTTTGTTTCTCAGGTCTGTTTGGAGTCAGTCTTTCTTATTCCCACTTAGGGTCTTTGGAGATTGAAAAGAACTCTCTCTTGCAGAATTGAGACCTTGCTCATTGCATTCTATTAGTCCCCTTGCTGGGATCCTCAAGGCAGAAATAGGGAGCACCCCATACTCTATGTGCTGGCTCAACAGTACATTCTGAGGATCCTGAGATTTCTTCTACTTCCCTGAGCCCATCTGCTGTTAACCTAGTCCTCACTCACGTGAGTGGAAGTGTACACATGCCTCCTTTAAGACTGCTTTCTCAACCCTCACGATCCAGAAATAGAGTTGAGGCTTTGTTTTTCATTTTTTTTCTTTTTTTTGAGGGGGGACTTTTCAAGACAGAGTTTCCTGTGTAACAGGCCTGTCTTTCTTTTTTAAAATTATTTCTTTCACAATTTCATATGCAGATACAATGTATCCTTTTTTCCTCTCTCTCATCCCTCTTCTACTTCCCTCCTACCCCTATAAACACTCCTCCCTCCCTACTTGTCCATTTCAGGACATTTTATTTTATTGTGTGAGTGACTTAGGACAGATGCTTTTGGTATAGCACTCTTTTCAGGGGTGTCCTGTGATGAGTACTGGTGGTGCTCCTCACTTTAACTGCATATAGCGACATCTTTCTGATTGTGAAGAGTTAAATTCACACTATTACATCTTGCTCATGATTCCCAGACACCATCCAGAAAAAAACTAAGCGCACAGCTCAACTTCATAGCTCCCCCCACCCCCTAGTTCTCCCATAGTTAAGAACAGGGCCTGGCCTTATGTTCTTTATTGTCTCTGGGGCAAGTTCTTTCCTGGTAGGATTGTTTCCCCTCTATTCTCCTGTTGGGTAAGCCATATTAGGCTAGGGATGCTTGGGTCTTACCAGAGCTTATAGTAGAGTCAGTATTACACTTCTCATCTTCCTCAAGTAGTGTTCATTTAGGTTTCTTACTGAATATCTAACAACCTAAGGATCACAGCTCTACTGAACTGTTGTTACCACCTTAGGCCAATGTTCTGTCTCGGCTCAAGAGAGATGCCTAGTTTGAATATCCTGCCTAAGGCATTTGAGGACTGAGTGCAGGTTTAGATGGATTGCTGAATGAGGATATACTTTTTAGATATCTTGGTATATTTTTATTTTTTAATTCATAGAGTTCTTTTCCTCCTTCCCCAGAGATTTCTTGGATAATGAAGTGTCCATGAAACCTCTTGAATATTGTCCCTGCAGTAAAGTTGTCCACTGGCACTTTGGGACTAATGTGAAGTGTGGACAACCCCATTAAGTTGTCAGGCTCTGAGCCACAGGTACTGAGGTGTCAGAGAAAAATTCTGGCAATGTATACTCCTTTTGAACAATTAGCATGCATTTGATACTACTCCTGTTTTAAATGATTTATCTCAGACATGGAAAATATCTCTTGCAGAATTTTTGTGCAATCCCTAAATTTGCAATTACTTACCATTGCATATATGGGTAATGTTATTTTCACAATGTATCATCTTTTTCTATCTTTTATTGAAAGTTTCATTTATAGTAATATTTTTAATTCCTTTAGCTCTGTGCTCTAATTCAATGCTTTATGAATAGAATTATTCAGAATGAAAAAATAGAATTATTCAGAATCATTTAAGGAGGCTAAACCTAAGATTAAGTGAGGACATGCTGGCTTTTATGAATACTGCCAATTTCCTGTAAGACACTGGATACTCCATAAGAGAGTAGCTCTATTTGAGAATATTGTGAAGGGATGTGAATTAAGGGATGTAAGCTTTGCCTCAGGTTCAGGGGGTATGCAATGTACAATGTGAAATAAAGAAGAATTCACACTGGGAACCTAGTCTTACTGCTGCTGCTAACTAACTAGTCTTGTGAACCTGACCATGTGCTCTAACCCCAAAGCATAAGAGCTGTAAAGAGAGAAGGTGCTACTTAAGAAGGGAAGAGCCATTGTTTCCCCATTATGGGATTTGTCATTGTTGCTAGTACACATATATCCACATATATTTATGTGGAAGTGTCCTTCCCAGTTGGATACAACTCAAAGTTCTTCCAAAGAACAGATATTTTTATTAAACTAGGGATGATATGAACCAGTGATCAAGAGATATAGATCATTACAGATTGGTTTATTCTACATTTTGTAATAAGCCAAATAAATTCAGATGCATACATATATTTTAATTTCACAAACATAAACTCTAAATGGAATAAGGTAAATCAATAACTATCCACCTCAAGTGGGCATGTCTGTAGTCTAAGCTACTCTGAGGCTGAGCAGAAGGATTAAAAGTTCAAGGCTATTTTGAACAACTTAATGATACCCATTACTTCAATTTATTTTTAAAAATTAGTTAATAGGGAGCTAGAGGTACAGTTCATTGGTAGGGTGTTTGCATAGCATGAGTAAGACCCTAGGTTCTAGAGTACAACCATATCCTACCTATAAAAGGAATTGATCACTATTTTTGTTTCTCTATTCATGGTTATAGCTGTTTTTAATATAGCAATATTCCAAATTTCCAAGAAAATCATTGCCTCAATGTTTGCTTTGGTGGGGGTTGTGTATCAAGTATTTTCAATGTTTTGCTAAATACTAGAATGCTTTCTTTTTCTTTTTTCTTTTTCTTTTTGCAATACTGAGAATTAAACCTTGGTTTTCAAGCATATCAGATAAGTAATCTCCCACTGAACTATATCTCCAGCCTCTAAAAGTTTTATTCCTAAATTTGTTAAACAAAAATAAATTTGGAATCCATATCACCCCAAATCATAAGATTCTGAGCTAAGTAAATCATTCATTAAATCCAGGTATGATGGTTCATGCTTACAATCCCAAAACAATGGTGAATAGGACAGGAGGACTTATGAGAGTTCAAGACCAGCTAGTGATGCCTGATGACTCCTTAGCTAACCTTGGCTATAAGGTGAGATCCTGTCTCAAATAAAAGTCTTACATTAAAAAGAAAGAGATAACAAAAACTATATGTGCATAAATAAGCAAGGCACCAATATACACCAATAGCACACAGGATATATGTTCTGGGCACTTTGTATACTTACAACCATCATGTACTGTTTAGAACTATTATGGAACAGTTTCCTCTGAAACCGAAATATTCAATCACACAGGGAAGCTCCTCAACCCAGAAGGCAAACAATTCAAAATAGCTTCAGGAAGTTCTTGAAATTGACCAGATTTTCTACCCCCTTTCTCCCAGCATAAACAAAACAAGACTGCTGAGAGCCAAGATGCCTGGAAGAAATTTAGACCAGCTGAATTCCCTAGAAAGGACCCTCTCTAACTTGTCGAGGTGCCTGCAGGCTGTACACTGTACTCTAAGTTCCTAGCTTTTGTGAGCTGTGGTAATGCTGGGGTGAGTTATGTTTGAGTAATTTCTTCTCCTGTGAGCAACCTCTCACCTCTGACCTTATAAATAACCCAATGAGACTCATTGGTACATCAACTTATACTTTGGTGGTATCTGTACTTTGGTCTGAGGTAGATTCCCTGTTTGGGGTGTATAGACATGTGTGCAGTGTCTCCCCAGGAAAAGGTTTATCATACAACAAAGGAACAATGACCACTTCAAACATAAAGCAAAACTTTTCCATAGCCTTTAACAAATATGGAAGAAGCTAATGGACATGGTTCTGGAACATACTTCAGTTTTGACAGTAGTGCCAAGTTTGTCCCAAAATTTGTGTCAAGCTCCCCTATCACTCAAAAATTCTCTGACCAGTATGTCAAAATCCACTTATGATACTAGTCTTGTGTCAGTAACTTATAATCCTCTCAATTTCCTTCCTTGAGTACCGGCTTTTGAACGCCACAGGTATTGGAAATGTGCGAGGTCACTATTACATACTTGCTGATACTCCAGTGACCTTTTCTGAACCAAATCTTTAGCTTTCTGGGATCTCTAAAGATGAAGTACTGCTCTCCAAAATATACTGTCATTATATTTAGTCCTTCCCAGATTTATATTCTCCATTGTCCTGTACAAATATCAGAATCAAGAGAGTCATTAGGAAGCTAGTTTTGTCATTGTAATAAGAGAAAATTCTGTAGATGAAGTTAAGTTTTCTGACAGTGGCAACAGAATGGCCTCCTCCTTTTGCTACATGTTTGAAGACCAGTCGAACCAGCTTGAAGATTCTCCTGGGGAACTCAGAAAGTGTCCTTGATATTTAATGACATTTTTAGCATGTCCC